CATAGTTTTCAATGGATTTTGCATTGTAAGGACAAATATTTTCCGTTTCTTTTATAAATAAAATAAATTTTGTTTGACTTATTTATTTATTTGTTTACTTCCTTGCAATGAAATCATTATGAAAATTGATGTTTGCATATTTCTACAACAAATGGATATGATTCTTATTTATGGTGATTATGGAAATGTCGAGAATTTACCAAATAGGGAGAGTTTCTCATCGCCCAAATTTCAATTGGACAGAAATTTGGAATCACGCAACTTGGTTGCATGATGAATGAGAAATTTCATATTTGGAAATTAGACTAATTCGTTGACAAAGTGTCAAGTGAAGGACTAGGAGATCGAGCGCACAAAGTTGTGTGTTGATCAAGTCCACCATAAGAGAAACAAAGATATTCGTCATGATTTACTAAAGGTTTAGTAAATATGATTATACTTATAAGATTAAGTATAATTCAGAATTGATTAAAAAGGTTTAAATCAATAGCAAAACGAATAAGAATCAAGTAGGCAGAAAGATAAAAGTTTCTCCATTCTAAGAAGAAGGGAGAGTACCTTTTATGCTTTATGATAGGTCTTTATGATTAAGAACCATATCTCAATTGATCCTCTAAGTAAGTCTTAGTACAATTGTATGTTTAAGAAGAGGAATCAAGAATTGAAGAAATGATTAAATCAAAAGGTCAATCATACATTCGTTCAATAACAAGTCTTAAAGTTAAGATTGTGACAATGAGTGACAAGTATTAAGAAGGTTTATAACATTCATCAAATGTGGAAAGTTGTGATGTCTTGGATAAGACAAAGGCCAACTAGGACCAATTTATGAAGTGTTTTGATAAAAGCTACACTAACTCTTGAATATTTGGTTGTCAACAAATGTTTATTGACAAGAGAATCTTATATGTCAAGGAGTCAGTGGGAGTCTTAATGGTTTTGAAAGGTTTCAAGAACAGATCAAATAAACCTTATCGATCATCACTAGCACACGAGTTGAGGTTTACAACCTATCGTGTTAACATTATTTTGTTTCTGTGCTGTTTCCAATTGAGTTAATTATGCATGTGAGTTCTATGAGTTCTCATTTTGAACGCATAAAAGGCAAGGCACCTTGATCAATGAAAGGTATATTGATAGGAAAATGTGAGCTGCTTAACTACTTGGAAGACATGGTGGGCAGCTGTGCTACCATAAGGCAAGAAATCAAGATTAAGAAAGTTCGGTCCATATGAGTTTGAATTTGTCGTAAACTTTGGTTTTAACAAATTCACATGGATAGGAACATATACACCATTAAAATCTAAGTGTCATAAGATTTCCTCCTTCATGAAAATGATTGTGAGGAAATGCTTTCACTAAGAAAGATTTTAAGAAGATAGTGATTGTAAAGTTGCATTCTCGAATTCAATTATGGTTACGGTATCCCTTTCCATGATTTGAATTGTGAGGTTTGGCAATTAGTCTTAATAGTTTAGACACACATATGAACTATCTAAATCAAAGGTGTATAAGCTTAAGAGGCCTTGATAAAAGATTATCAAAGCATTAAGTATTAGAAACATGGACTTAAGAAATTCAATAGGTATTGTTTTTCTGGAAGTTAAGATGTTTTGAATACATGTCGAAGCTAGTGGGAGCATAAGTGTTATGTTTTTATAGTAATCATCATGATAGTGGGAGCATAAAAGTTATGATTGTATGATTATTATGAAAAGTTTTGCAAGTTGGCAATATTAATTATAGAAAACAAGATTTATACCTTGCAAAGTCGTAAGGGTTGTAAAGTTGTTTTTCTATAATTAAGGGAGAGAATATTATGCTTCATTTCAAATCTAAAGGCTTAGGTTGAGAAATGTTAATAAATTTAGTCAAAGGTACATAGTGTGTTCTTAAAATTTCGATTATGATTACGGCATTCCTCTTCACAATTCGAATTTTGAGAACATAGCAAATAAAACATTATGCATCGTGTCCCATACGCTTCGGGTATAGGATCGATTGCAAATGCTTTAATATTTGATCATTCTAAAATTTTCCAAATGTCTAGCGCATTTAGAGGAAAAAGGGACTAGAATGGGTTTTGACTAAAATAATTAAACAACTATCAAAGGACAATCCAAAGTTCGACGAGGATTGGTTGTTTGTGAGTAGTTGGAAGCATGGTATTGAATGGACCATATCGACATTATTATGAATAGATAAGATTCTATTAAGAATAAGTTGTCATATGGAAATATGGAAGCGTGTCTATATTGGAAATTGAATATTGAAAAATCTATGACTAGATTAGAAACCTTTATGCAAAATGATGTTCAAAGGAATGTACTTTGAGTGAGAGACATCGTATCTAAGGAATTGTCTTGTAATAATCTTCGATAGAGGACTTTGTAATATCATTGACAATAGTCTTTGTGACTTTGGTGTAGTGACATTACGAAAGAATCATTGCATAGAATGTTAGAATCTAGCATATTCTATAAGTAGCAAGAATTTGATATTCTTTCACTTATGAAAAAGGATTTGGAGTTGTGAAATGAGAATGATTGGAAATGTGTTCAATGTGATCTATTTCACAAAGTAAGAACCATAGGTGAACATTGTGTGCATGCTAGGAGCATGGGATAAGTGTTGTAATTCAAGTAAGAAGTTGATTACCCGAAACGACAAATAATGAGTAATCGATATGGTGATAAATAAAAGGAGTTTTATTTATACTCAAAGGGTTGAGGCCATATGGGATTAGTATTATTCTTGTGTTTCACTTTGCATGTTTTGACTTCCACAATAATTGAGTTTATTAAGAATAATCAAATTATTCAAACAGGCCACAGTCGTTCATATGTTGGAAGTATATATGAATGAAGACTATCGTGAATTGGTGTGTGGATTGTCTAAAAGAGTATTAGACATAAGCAAATGTTTGTTGCATTGTTCATGAGTGCTTATGAATATGAATTTGAGCATTGGATTAAACCCACACTCACTTGGATCACTCCATGAATTGTATCACGAGTGATTGGTGAGACGATAACATCTTATATTCTTGAAACCAAGATGTGTGAGTTGTATCTTACTAATCGGTTGCACATTGATAATATGTAAACCCACTAGTAACTTGGTGTTATAAAACATATTGTTGTGTGTGATTCGGTGAGTGAGTCCAAGCAAGCATTGTATCAAAGTTTATCCGTTCCTTTTATCCCAAGTAGGATAAATGCGATATTTTTGGGCCACCTGATGATTTAGTGATGACAAACGTAAATGCTCGGTCGGGCTAGGGCTAATTTGATTTGTTCAATTAGTCAGTCGTCATAAATCGGGAATCAAGAAATAGTACAAAGAGAATGATTAGATATCATATCTCATACGATATCTAGAATGGAGGAATATATGATCCCTTATCTAAGGACACGCATATCTGATAGGATCAGAGTTGACAGCGGCTTTAGAAAGCTACGATTGCAGATCAGGATCTGAAGTCATACGCAGAATAGTTATTAGACTTATCCAAGTGGGAGACTATTGGATTAGTGTCTAAGTCCATAACTATTTTGGTATGTACTTGACCCGATGGTGCATGGTCCTTTTGGGTTGCCTTCACCAAAGCAACTTGATTGGAGAAATAAATAGAGAGAGAGGTTATTATGATTTATTAATATGTTATAAGAATAATATATTAAAGGAGAAATCATATTTGTTTAATTAATATTGGTCAATAATTAATTAGAAATTAATTTTGTGATCAAGTGTAATTAATTAAACTAGAGGGGCTGAATTGTAATTACGTGATAGTTACAAAATAAGGTAAGGATTATCCTAAGTATAGGATGGACGAATTTAAGGTGATAATACCTTAGAATTCGACTATGATAAGGATTCAAGGATTATCTTATGGGTTGCTTGGTAAGCAAGCAACTAGATAAGGATAATGACTGAAACCCTATCTGTACACCTATATAAACCCCCTTGGCTCATGAATTCGTGAAAGAACTTCCCAAGGCTTCTTAGGGACGAATTCAATACCTCCTATCTCTCCTCATATCTTCTCCATTTGCTCTTGGTGTTTGTAAGCCATTAGAGGAGTGACAATTGTGACTCTAAGCTTTCTAAAGTCAATACAAGGAGATTTGTGATTGTTATTGCTACATAACAATCAAGGTAACATTATAAACCTATTCTTGTGTTAATATGATCACTTGAATGCTAGAATTAGGGTTTATAGTCTTGGATAACTTGCATGTACAATAGAGAAACCTAGATCCAAGCATTAGGGTTTGTATGAGCACATAGGATGTCTTATGACCAAAACCCATCAATCCTGAGGTTTTTAATATAATGAAAATACATTTCTTCGGAAATGCTTTGATAAATTCTTTATCATATTTTTAGAAACCAATTCCGCAACATATTTCTTTAAATGGATACTCTGATTTTCAAATAAAGCATAAACAAATCGGTCTTTTTTTGCCGTGAAACTGGGGATGTAACAGTGGGGCTAGACCCAATGATATGTATGGTATCTGGTATTTGGGGAACTCACTAAGCTTTGTGCTTACGGTTTTTATGGTTATGGTTTCAGGTACTTCCGATTCGAAAGAGAAAAACTCTGCTTGATCACAACGCATCCATCCATGTTTCCGCAACTTGATGATTTTGGGAAAAGATAATTGGTGTTTCTGATTAAACTAAAAGTGAAAATTTTACCTTATAATTTTTGGATCGTTACAGTTTTTAGTAGGTGTGAGAAAATTACTTTTTATTAAATTATAAATAATATTTAAATAAATAATAAATTAATAAATAAATAAAAATGTAACTACAGATATAAATACATGAGGGTAAAATAGTATTTTTAAACGGATATGGACTAAACATGCAACAAAATTATAAAATAGAGCCGGTTCAAATTAAAAAATAAAAATAAATAAATAAAATCTAAGGAACAAGTACATAGATTACCTTAAACTACAGCGTAATTCACCTTTTTTAGAAATCATGGGAGAAAATGGTTTCATAATCCAAAAAGAGGGGAAGGGTATGAAGGGAGTTTCTGGTCCAATAACAAGAATCCTGAATTCCATTCGGGATGAGCACATCATCCACTGTTTATTACTCTATGTGCGGTTGATTTTACGGATGCGCAACGCTTTACATATCAAACACTCCAACAAGATTCCATCGTCATGCGCCTACACAAAGTCTATCACCGGTTCTCTCTCTTTTCCCTCACTTCACCCCCTTTTCTTCCTCATCCATCTTCAACCCTCTTCTCTTCTTATTCCCCATCTTTTCTCTCTTCCAAACGCTGTCGAATTTCATCATCAACACCGCCTTCCACCCTCAACCCTTTTCTTCAAACCATGTCTACCTCACGATTACACAATCTTGTCCCTCTTGCCGCAATCGCTACCGAAGACGCTGCTGGTCCTAATGGGTCAACAGCTACGCCTGAAGATGATGGTACTTGTTATTCGATATTCATCTGAATTTATTCTTTCTGGAAGCACTGGTTATTGAATTGGATGATCGATTGTAATCGGATAGTTTTGTTTATCGCCCCCACCCAAAGTATAGGAAATTCCATTTCGATCGAGTCTTTGGTTTGTAGCCAAGAAACTGGAATTCAAGGATTCTGCAAACTGGCTTATGTTAACAGATGTGTTCCAAGTAAAAAACAAGTGAAATACTCACTCCCACATTGACTTTGGTGCTAGGCTAGTTACAATTTAATCTATATGATAGGGAGACTGCTTAGGTTGGAATAAAATCCGAACAAGTCTTTTCTCTTTTGCATATAAAATCAAAATCGGCTTCTTAGACTTGTTGTCAATCTGCTCTGATACTGATATAGTCTCAGACATGGGTAGGCAATCGATTGAACACAATTTGAACTTTGTTAAATTCACTAACGACTTGTTTTTAACATGCTTATGGTTTCATTAGGTATTTGAGAAGTTGGCATAAGTCTGCAATGGAGTTGACTAACAGTCTCTTTCTCATTTTGAATGTGCAATCAGAATTAAACAGTGGATACCGTCTTCCTCCAGCAGAGATCAGAGATATTGTTGATGCTCCACCACTTCCAGCTTTATCATTTTCTCCACAGAGAGATAAAATATTGTTCTTAAAGCGAAGATCTTTACCTCCATTGTCAGAGCTGGCGAAACCAGAGGACAAGCTTGCAGGCGTTCGTATTGATGGGAAATCTAATACCCGCAGCAGGATGTGGGTGATAAGGATGCTTGTTCTTGCTTATTGTTAATTTGTAATACAGTGTCAACTTTTTTATGCTGCCTGCTTTCATGTGGACTGGTTAATAAATAAATAAATAAATAAATAAATAATTATTTTTGGTTGTTTGCATGTAGGTCATTCTATACTGGTATCGGGATCCATGATTTAAGGGATGATGGCACATTAGGCCCGGAAAAATTGATCCATGGCTTTCCAGATGGATCTAAACTCAATTTTGTTACATGGTAACCTTGGAATTTGAATAGACTAATGTTATTCTGTGTGGTGTATCATTTTCTAATCAATTCCATTTTTGTTTGTTAATGTTAGGTCAACTGATGGTCGTCATTTAGCCTTCAGCATCCGGCAAGATCAGGTAATGGTCAACATACATCAGGTGTTGGTGTTTCAAAATAAAGCACCGTGATTATAGCTCATTTGGCAACTAGACTTATATCCATTCTGTTGTTTGATGAGTGAAACAGGAGGAAGAGGATGATGTTGGCAGCAAGCTGAGAGTTTGGGTTGCTGATGTGGAGACAGGAAAAGCTAAACCCTTGTTTCAGTCACCGGATGTGTTCCTGAATGCAATCTTTGACAAGTATGGACCATCTTTAAATATTATATTTTATATTTTGTTTGGTAAATAGTAAAATGTTTGATTTGCAGTTATGTGTGGGTGAATGATTCGACTCTGTTGGTTTGTACAATCCCAGCATCCAGAGGAAAGCCACCAAAGAAACCGTTGGTCCCCTCTGGTCCTAAGATCCAATCCAATGAGCAGAAAACTGTTGTTCAAGTTCGAACCTTCCAAGATCTTCTTAAAGATGAATACGATGAAGATCTGTTTGAGTATTATGCCACCTCACAGCTTCTTTTGGTTTCTTTAGATGGGAGTGTGAAATTATTTGGGGAGCCAGCTCTGTACACATCACTTGATCCCTCCCCTGATCAGAAATACATTTTACTTACTTCCCTCCATAGACCCTTCTCTTTTACTGTCCCTTGTGGAAGATTTCCCAAAAGGATTGATCTCTGGTCTGCTGCTGATGGAAAGTTTTTGAGGACTCTTTGTGATCTGCCTGTTGCTGAGGACATCCCAATTGCTTTCAACAGTGTCCGGAAAGGCATGCGCTCCTTGAACTGGAGGGCAGATAAACCTTCAACTCTCTACTGGTATGTAATATGTAATATGTAATAACTTACTTCAAAACCTTGAAAAGTGTGTTATATAATAACTACTTATATTATGTATTGGTAAAGGGTGGAGACACAAGATGGAGGTGATGCCAAAGTAGAAGTTTCTCCTCGTGACATAGTCTACACACAGGCTGCTGAAGGTGAAGACCACCCAAGCATCTTTCATAAGCTTGATCTTCGCTATGGGTAAGTTTTTTTTTTTTTTTTTTTTTTGGCATAAGTTTATCTAGTCATATTTTTTTGAATATCTGCAGAGGAATAAGCTGGTGTGATGATTCGCTTGCATTGATATATGAATCATGGTACAAAACACGACGTGTAAGAACCTGGTTGGTCTCCCCTGGTAAATCATCCAATGAGAATCCTCCAGCCCCACGTCTGTTGTTTGATAGATCATCTGAAGATGTGTACTCTGACCCTGGTTCTCCCATGCTGAGGAGAACTCCTGATGGGACTTATGTTATTGCCAAGTTCAAGAAGGAGGATAAACAAGCCACATACCTGTTGCTAAACGGAAATGGTGCTACCCCAGAAGGAAACATACCTTTTCTAGATCTGTTTGACATGTAAGTAAAGTCCTATTCGTATCTCAAAAACATCTGAATCTGATATGATATGTGACAAATGACAGAGATACGGGTGAAAAGGAGAGAATATGGCACAGCGACAAGGAGAAGTATTATGAGAGTGTGGTGGCTCTGATGTCGGACCAGAAGGAAGGGGAGTTGCAGGTGAATGAGCTGAAGGTCCTGACTTCCAAAGAGTCTAAGACTGAAAACACACAGTATTACATACAAAGATGGCCAGAGAGGAAAGCATGCCAAATCACAAGGTTCCCACATCCATACCCTCAATTGGCTTCATTACAGAAGGAAATGGTGAGGTACGAGAGAAAGGATGGAGTCCAACTGACTGCAACTTTATACCTGCCACCCGGGTATGACCCCACACGAGACGGGCCTCTGCCTTGTCTGGTGTGGTCGTATCCCGGAGAGTTTAAAAACAAAGAAGCAGCTGGACAGGTTCGTGGCTCTCCTAATGAGTTTGCAGGCATAGGCCCAACATCACCACTGCTTTGGCTCGCAAGGAGGCATGCATTCGTTCACCCTCTCCTCTCTCTTTTCATATAATTACTTTTTGACCTTGTGAATCTTTTGTTTTTTCAGGTTTGCTGTATTATCCGGGCCAACAATTCCCATCATCGGTGAGGGAAAGGAAGAAGCAAATGATAGGTAAGGTAATCTTGAAAATTACTTCCTGAATCCTTGTTTTAATTTCTTATAGAGAGAATTTGTCATAGGTATGTTGAGCAGCTTGTTGCCAGTGCAGAGGCAGCAGTGGAGGAAGTCATCCGCCGTGGGGTAAAATCTATTCTGATTTCTGAACCACCATATATCATCATAAGGTACTGTAGTGACTGACTGTGATTGTGACTAAAATGGTATGTCTGTGACTCAGGTGGCTCATCCAGGAAAAATTGCAATCGGGGGACATTCTTACGGGGCGTTTATGACAGCAAATCTGTTGGCACATGCCCCTCATCTTTTCAGTTGTGGCATTGCTCGCTCAGGAGCTTACAATAGAACACTTACACCATTTGGGTTTCAGGTAAGACAGACAGACAGACACATGGCAGACTTTGATTTGGTCGTAATTTATAATTTATTATGTTGTTTGAGTGTTGAGTAGAATGAGGATAGAACACTCTGGGAAGCCACTGATACTTACATCAAGATGAGTCCTTTCATGTCTGCCGATAAGATTAAGAAGCCCATCCTGCTTATCCATGGAGAAGAAGACAACAACTCAGGAACACTGACAATGCAGGTGAGATTATAACTTGCCTCTGTGGTCTGTGAAACTGAAAATACATTATAATTATTCCGTAATCTGTGCAGTCGGATCGTTTCTTCAATGCGTTGAAGGGGCATGGGGCACTATCTCGCCTAGTCGTTCTACCGTTTGAGAGTCATGGTTATTCTTCACGGGAGAGCATAATGCATGTCCTTTGGGAGACGGATAGGTGGCTACAGAAATTTTGTGTTTCCAACTCCTGTGAAGAAAAAGAAGGTGCTGATGAAACCAAAGCAACTGTTGCCTCTGGTGGTGGTGAGATTGAAGACATTGGAGTTGATACTCTTCATTACAATACAAGATCATCACTTTGGTAATTTCTGTGCTCGTTATACAACTTGTATGGCTGTACGTCCTATTGGTTTTTTGACATATTGCATGTTTCAGACCTCTCTGGTTTGGGTCGGAGCTGACAGTGTCCATTGTTATTTGAAGAAAATTGTTGGCATGCCATTTAGCTCTTAACAAAAACATGATATGGCTGACAATTCTTCTGCTTGATGCTGTACAAGATGTGAAGGGAAGGCTACTGTTGTATAATCAATCCATCATAAAACAAAAACCAACTTTGTAATAATGTATGTATTTCATATTCTTTTGGCAATGTGGATTTTATCTACATTGTTGGATGCAAAGATTCAAAAAGTTCATCCAGTTGATCCAGTCCCATGATCAAATAGGTACTAGGGGTCCGGTTGCTCATCCGGAGCTCAAATAGGTAAGGACATGCCAAAGCCTAGGTCCGAAGTAACAAAGCCCATGTTAATACAAGGCCACATGCATTATAGATATAACTAGAAGCTGCTAGTCCTCGCGTTGCATTGACACAGACGGGTTCATCCATCTTTTATTTTATTACAAGGACAATTTTTGTAATTTATTTTCTACATAGGGGTCAAACCTACCAAGATACAAAAATCTTAAACATATGAAATGTTTTTGTAGGGAAAAAAAAATTACAGGGGTCTTTTCTATAAATTAAAAAATTAAAGGGATTAAGTCTATCAAAATCTAAAATTTGTGGCAACACTTAAAAACACAAGAAATTATTGTTCATAGGCGTTTTGGTATTTATTCTATAGAGTAATCGACTATAAGTATGAGTGAGTTTGGTACTGAAACTAAGAATACTGGAACCGAAAATCTGAGTTTGTGTGTATTGTATACCAACAGCTGATAGATACTATATGGTACCAGTTTCGATACTTTACTAGTATCGGTTCTTCCTATTATAGTGCCAATTTTCCATGTGCAACAATTCATATTTGAGGTTGTAGAACTTAGGCTCATTTGTAACAATTGAACTTAAAGTATTAGAAGAGTAAATTACAAGAATTGTTCCTAGTACATGTATCAAAAGGTATGTTCAGTCCTTATTTTCAAAAATTAATTTGGACTGTCCCTCATTTGTTTAAAACTTGCGCATTTCATCCCTTCGGACATAAAAAGACCATTTTACCCTTAATAATTTATTTTTTAATTTTCTTTAATTTATTTATCATTTTTAAATTAAAAAAAAAAAAGAAAGAAAAAAAAAATCCCCCACTAACCCACCCCTCCTCTTTCCCTTTTCCCCTGTTTGCTTTCGCCCCAGCTCTCTTGAAACAAAAATGGTGGACTACTCTACCTCTCTCTCTGCTCCGGCGTCAGTTCTCTTCCGTCTCTCACTCTGTTTCCGATGAGAAAACCATCTGACAACCCTGAAACTCAGGCTACTATGTAAAAAATAACCTCGTCATCTATCATATCTCTGGATCTGTAATTGGATTCCGACGAGAGAGCATGTCAAAGAGGAGGCTATGACGGATCGACAGCGTCACTGTGTGCGGAACTCTGGCGTATACTATGTGTGGAATTCTGGCGATTACACTCCCTAATCGATGATGGTAATTTAACAAACAGGTTATCTTCACCACCCAACACAACTTCATCCATCTCTAAAATTAGTGCTTTGTTTTCCAAATTGCATCAAATTCAGAAAAGCAAAACACAACAAGTGACGATTTTTGCATTAGGGATTTGAGTTTGAATTTGTAGGTTTGATTTTGGGTTTGCATTTGAATTTCAGGTTTGATTTTGGTTTTGGGTTTGAGTTATAGATTGGACTTTTGTTTTGGATTTGAGTTGCAGGTTCGGGTTTATATGTATTTTATTAGGTAACTTTGTGTTGAGTTTGGGTGATTTTTGTGGTACTGGATCCATGGTCAGAGATGGTGACTGGAGCTGTTGCCGGGCATTAATTCTATGGACGGAGATGGTGATCGGAGGTGGTGTCGGGCATCGGATTTGTGAACGAGGATGGTGATCGGGATCTTGAAGAACATTAAATTGAAGAAAATTAAATGGACTAGAAAGGAAATAGAGAGATGTAGGGTAATAATATTTTTCTTTTTTCTTAATTAATAATAATAATAATAACAATAACAATAATAATAATAATAATAATAATAATAATAATAACAACATTAAATTAATTGGAAAAGAAATACCAAAAAGGCATAATAGTCATTTTAGGTAGCGTAAGGGATGAAGCGTACAAAATTAAATTAATTAGGGATGCAACGTGTAGTTTTTAACCAAACAAGGGATGATCCGAGTTAATTTTTGAAAATAGGGACTAAACCTGCCTTTTGACACATGTACGAGGGACGTTTCGTGTAATTTACTCTAAATAGTCCTTAATGGAGTTTTCTCAAGGAGGGGAGTACGCGGGGGGTACCAAGGCTAAGCACCAACTCTATAATCCCTTACCGAATAAATGTGTATGTCGGGCGTAATTAGTTTGTATACTAAGCGTACTCACACAGAACCTTTTGTGGGCTTTAGGTCATTTGGGCCTTTGTTGGGCCTTGTGCCTTTTGGTCCAATGTTGAGCCTTAGGTCTCTTGGGCCTTTTTGGGCCTTAGGTCTTTTAAGTTTGGACCATGGGTTGAGGGTCCCGTTAAGGGAAGGGTAAAATGGTCTTTTACCCCTACATGTCAGATGGTAATCTGGACCTTTTATAGGTTATTACTCTGATTATTTATCAAGGGTTAATTTGAAATGTTCAATGTGAGGAGTCGTGGTTGCAACAACCTGGGGGTGTGATTTGTCTATCTTCAGAATGAGGTGAGTCCCTTCACTATACTTGGGGGTCGAAGGCACAAAGGTCGTCCCATTAGATTATGCTTGTAGGATGATAACTGTCTTTTTGACATTTACTCATATCCCTATATGCTTGTTGTCTTTGTGACTCTTGCATGTGTATGTATGTTATATGTATTAAGTGCTTAATGGAGTTTTCTCAAGCAGGGGAGTACGCGAGGGGTACCAAGGCTAAGCGCTAGCCCTGTCGAAAATACCCGATATCCGAATTACCCGCCCGATTTTTTTGGGTATCAGGTAAATCGGGTATCGGGTAATCGGGTAACCCGATTTTTTTCGGGTCGGGTAAAGGGTACATTTTTTGGATTTCAGGTATACCTAAATTACCCGAATTATTTTAATAATTCTTTTTTTTTGTACAGCTTGTACTATATAGCAGGTATTTGATCACGCTTAAACTAACTATCATTATTATAAAACACGAATCTATTTATTATATGACAATATGACACTAACAATATTAAAAGTAATTGTTTATATATCATCATGTTTTTTAAAACTTAATTGTTTTCTAGATTATAGTTTTTATTGCAACTAACAAACTCATTATCTTCACGAAACTTCAGAACATGACAAAATTTATGGCTACAATTATGTTAAACATTTTAAACTTTTAAATTAAGATCTTTAAGTATTTGTTTTTTTAACATCTTATTAGATTATATTAAGTTGTTAAAGAAATTCCTTGATATCTCAGGTATTATTGACTAAAAAATCTCAATGTTTAAAGCTTGAGTAACTTCGTTTATGTCTCGTTTGTTTATATAGACAAGACTAATAAAGCACGACGTATTTATTTCATTAAATTTATTTTCAGGTAAAATTCAAATATATATATATATATATATATATATATATATATATATATATATATATATATATATATATATATATATATATTGGGTAATACCCGAATTACCCAAACCCAACCCGATACCCAGATTACCCAAACCTATTTACCCGAATTTAGTTTAGGTAGGGTAACAAGTATTTTTTTGTAATATGAAAAACCCAAATTACCCGACCCGAAATACCCAAAACCCGAAAAAATTACCCGATCAACACCCCTACTAAGCGCCAACCCTATAATCCCTTACCGAATAAATGCATATGTCGGGCGTAATTAGTTGGTATGCTTAACGTACTCATATGGAACCTTTTGTGGGCTTTAGGTCATTTGGGCCTCTGTTGGGCCTTATACCTTTGGTCCAGCGTTGAGCCCTAGGTCTCTTAGGCCTTAGGTCTTTTGAGCTTGGGCCATGGGTTGAGGTTCCCATTAAGGGAAGGGTAAAATGGTCTTTTACCCCTAAGCATGTTAGATGGTAATCTTGACCTTTTATGGGTTATTACTATGATTATTTATCAGGGGTTAATTTGGAATGTTCAATGTGAGGAGTCGTGGTTGCAACAGCCTGGGGGTATGATTTGTCTATCTTCAGAATGAGGAGTCATGGTTACAACAATGTGTAATTATGTCGTTTATAGTATTGTACTATAACATATATGATTTATTGATGATTTATACATTTTAGATTGCTATTTCATAAACTTTTGACCAACAATAAAGTACAATGCTATTTTGTGTATAAAACTTGAAAATCATTAAAACTTTAATAGACACACATGTATTCCCCCCAAATATTAAAATATTAATAGAGGGGTCGTAGACACACCCTTGAAGCGTGAGTTCAATTAATTTGAAGTTGTTTCATTCGTGTGGGAAATTGCAAAGAAACAATTCTTGAGCTTTGAAACACCTTCAGAACTATTTTGTAACAAATTAAGCAAAAGGCGTTGTTTCATAATGATTTAAATCAAAATTGTTTATTTTTGTAACTTAACTAACCAAAAGGGGTTGTTTTGGTAATAACTTATTAAATGGAGGGATGTTGATCAACTTTTAGGAACAATAGGGACATTTTGGTAATAATTTAAATCAAAAGGGGATGATTTTATCAACTAATTATGAACTAGATGGAATTAGATGTGCTGTTGGCGCTGTGTACATTGTTTTCTTTCATTATTTTAAACTGTAGTAGATAAGCGACCATATTATAGTATTTATGAAGGGATATTACACATATGAAACGGTTGTTGATATCAATTACATAGGAAGGAGTAGATTACAAAAGATGAGCGCATCAAACCACTACATTAGCAAAAGATGGTTTCTGGGAAGATGCAATAAACATAGGAGCCTATTATTTTTCAATATTTGCCTCAATCATATGAGATACAGATATGGGAGTAACTGACACCTGTTAAGTTTCAAACCAATTAATCAGATTTAGGGTATGTACTTCCATAAATTTTATAATCTAAAAAAGTATTTGGTTTTTTAGTATTGAAATTAGTTGAGGGGGCTTACAAATCCACTCAAAAGGGCTCTGAAATTAATATTTTCATATGTTTCTTCTTGGGGAGTGTCTTGAAACTGCATCATTAATTATAAAATGCTTTTATTTCCATAAATAAATAATGGTAGAAACTATGATTGAAATCCATTATTCCATATATAATAACTGATATTTAAAAACCCTACATCTAGCCTGACTGTTTTATTACGGTCAACCTTCCCTGATACACCAACTGATTCAACAACCTCCAACCTCTTCTTCTGTGAGTTTAATCTTCTTGCTGCACCCTTCAACATATAACCACAACAAACCAATCAAATTATAAAAAGACAAAATTGCAAAAATGGTCCCTATGGTATGCA